CACTTGAAAGCTGTGAAACGATGTCACCTGGTCTGACCATTATCAAGTCATCTTGTGAGCTTGTGATATATATATACTGCAGATCCTTACCCTACTTTTGGCACCAGGAATCACGGTTCTGGATTTCATTCTGTATTTCTCTGGTCTTATAAAGGGTTAAAGGGTTTCACCAGAAATGCCCAGATTTGACAAAACTACAAAAATCATTTGATTTGCACGTGCCCCATATACACATAAATGAGACCTATTATTTAGCCTGGTTGTGCAGACAAAAGGACATATCTGGTGTGGTATGTAAAAAAAACAAGAAACATCAACACTTGCTATAACTACGGACATCTCCATAAGCCTGAGTGGACTGATTTTCAGACTAAAAATGAACCGACCAGACTCAAAGATTCACATGAAACTAGAATTTTGAATTCAGACATTCCCCAGAGTGTGTGGTATAAAATTTCAATACCACAAGCTTGGAAGAAACCCCCAGCGTGCAAAGTGTAGGGCCGTATCGTCTTTTTTTACAGTGCCACACCAAACTCCTGTATCAGCCTACAGTCTCATGTTTTACCTATATATTCTTCATCATCTGTCATGTGAAAACATCAGATTTCCACACAGTCAGTGAAAGTAAAAGTGTGCATCCTACTCATAGTTCTGTTACAATAACCCAGGGCACCACCGAGCACCTCTCCTGACGGGCTGCTGACAGCTCTGTCAGCCCAAGAGTCAGTGGACGGCAGTAGAGGAAGTTGTAGCACTGTAGCAGAGCAGCAAACAGACTTCCTTGCCTCGCTGTCCGTCGTCCCACTGCCAGCTGTTTCTATTACCTTTCTCTGCTACCGTCACAGTTAGTTTTGTGTTTTTTTGGTCATTTTGAGACTTGGTTTGTAAAGTTTACAACCTGCTATGCTGTTGTTCTGTATTGATCTGTGCACAATGATGCAACAGCAACAACAAAAAAAGTGTAGACCTTTGACTGACAAAATGGGTGTTGACTCAAGCTCTTCTCAACTGAATCGAATCATCACCTTTTCTGGGGCAGCCCCAGCAAAGTGTGTGTGCATTCTTGTTTCGGTATCCAACAAATGTGTGCATGTGTGTGTCTCCTCTGCCCATGTAGCTGTGTTTTGACAAGTGTCACACAATCCCCTGTGGGAAAGCAGGGGGATTTCTCTGAAGAAGGGGAGCTCTGCTTTTGTCAGAAGAGATGAGGCCAAGAGCTGCTTTGGAAAGAGTCCTCTGACTGGTGACTCAGTACTACTCCAGTTACATTACATTATAGTACATTTTTTAAAAAGGGATTTTATTTTATTATTTTTTTAAATCTATGCAGGGTGCATGGGAGCCCAAATACACTCTTTATTTATCGTCTTTTTCTTGTGCTCAAATGAGGCCCCTAACCATTAACCACCAGACCAAATATACACTGTCTGTGTGTGTACTGTATGTCATAATGACTTCCTGTTTGTCTACAAAATCTTTAAAATCCTCAATCTCTGCCCTCATCTTAACTGAGATAAAAACAGCTATACAGAAAAAGGAAGCTTTTGACTGTGTCCTCCTTCCACAAAGTTAAGCTCTCTAAACCACATCTAAGAAAAGTCAAAGCTGGAGTGAAAGACTCGCAAAGGCGCAAATAGAGACGGCACATTTTTAGAAAAGGGCTACGTTGTCATTACAAGTCCACAGTGTTTACCATTCGCCACACCTCCCTTAACCAAGGGTGAATATCATTGTGAGCCACTGTTCCGTTTTCTTCCCAGTAGGGATGCAGTGATGAGGATTTTCACTGCCTAAAATATCACCCTTTTTGACCTTCCTTGAAGATTTCTTTTTTATCATTCTGAAAAGCCCCTTGTTCCAACTTAGCTTAGAATTTGTGTCAAATTCTCAAACACTTACCAGAAACTCCACAGTCAATATACTCCATACAGAGTTTCAATTAATATTACTTTTAAATTACAAAATATGCCAAAAAACCAGATTAATTTTTGACATAGCACTGATAAGCATCATCTGCCATCATTTTTCGACCAGTGAAACTTGTGGCCTACTATTCTTGCTTATGAACTTGTTCAACACTAAATGCCACATGTAAATGTGACATTTGGCGTTTGTAGTCATTTCTTTGATCTATATTATCCTGATTTATCTACTGCTTAGATACAACGAAAGCCTCTACATCCTTTTAATTAGTAAGGTCAAGGAAAACAACTACCCACTCTTCACTCCCACTCCACTCTCAGCTGCTTTTTCTTCATCCCTTTTCAGAATGCTGGTTTTCTGTTTGTGTCATGGCTGCTGCCCATTGTCTTTAAAGTAAAGATAGAGGTGGCAGGTTGGAAAAACCACAACAGTGCAGATACCTGGAAGCTGAGCAAAGGAAGTGACAATCCTCTCTGCTAAAGAGTAGTTAACTGCATAACAAGTGAAAATGAGAAACGTGACCTTAAAAAGGCCAGTGCAGCTTATGTATTATTAGTGAAAGCTTCACTGGCCTTTGATCTGTAAAACATACAACAAGTTGCCTCAGGACACTGACAGCACTTACCAGCACTGCTGGTTGAAGTGGTGACAGTCGTTTCTGAAGAACTTTATTCTTATAAACTAGCTGAAGGATAGTTTCTTTGTCACAAATTATAAATTCACAAGAAGCGTTGCCCTTTAGAAATAAGAGCTGTGACCCAATTAACATGCAAATGGATAAGCACTAACTACACATGAGAGTTTCTTGGCTTAGTTGACTAAAGGCTTCAGTATGCTTCAAATGAACTCGGTCATACAACATGTCGCCCACTCCATCCCACTGCCTCCCTAGTCTCTTTCCAATTCTTTTGCATGTGTTTGTAGTCTTGATTAAATTAACTGTGTGAAAAGAGCTAAGGGCACACAATTTTGGACAGTCTGTCCTCAAAGGCACTCATTTCTCTGCACATTTAATCCAACATAATCATAGTTTGAAGTATACTTAACCTTACATTCTATGCAATGTGCAAACTAACTAAAATAAGTTGCTGCCCTGCTGTACCAATGCTCCAATAACTTAAGGTACAAGACATCTAACTTATTTATTGTATAATGGGTTTCCAAAATTACTTGGAAGACTCACCTACATGGTACATTTGCAGATGAACTCTCTTGCTTTGGATTAAGAAAACTAGACTATGGGATTCTTATCATTTATCCACCTACAAAGATAGTTATGAAATGTCAGGCCAACATGAACAGCATGGCCAACATATCAATACAGACAAAATAATCAACAAGTAACCAAGCCCCCAGTGTAAGCAGCTAGGAACCAAGATCAGCATTATCTGTCACCATTTCTCCAGCAGCACCAAGACAAATGCAAGCTTTTCATGCTCAACAAGTTAAGCTTTTCTGACATTAGATCAGATCCACTTGCAATATTCTTGACTTGACAGAACTTTGCACTGAACTTTTTGTCAGATGTCACCCACCCCTTTTCTTTGTTCAACCTTTCCTGTCACTCGCCACTACCAAAAAAGCAGAAAGATCACTGCAAAACATCACCCTTTACGAAAGAGCAGCGTGCCCTGGAGCAAGGCGAGGAGGCAGCGTTATGAAAGGGAACGTGGCCCTTGGCTCTTCAGCTGAGGCCCGGGTCAGAGCAGAGAGCTACAGTAGTAATTACTGAGAGACTGATTGCTGACAGGACCTTCCAACAGCCTATGGTTAACTCGATGGAGCTGAGGGGGAGGAAGCTTCAAATGCACAGGCATGACAGATGCTCTGCTGATGACTTATACTTCAGGGTGGTTCGGGGGCATGTATGCCATTTTGCTCTGTTCATTCTCCTTTCAAAAGTTACAAAAACGGAACATTTGTGCTCTTCAACTACAGACGGTTTTTGACATTTTCCAGGGGGAGCAAAGGGAGAAATCATACCAGAGGAGAGACCAAATTACCCTCTAAAATGGTATTAATTCATTTTGTAAAAGATTTTTGTTTTAAGTGCTTCATTGAACATCTTCAGAATTTTAGAAGTGCCATCAGAGGTTGTTACCTCCTCTACTTTATTCAAAAATCACCCCTGATAATTTTTAAGAGAAGATGTAATTTGTTCCAAATGGCAGATAGTTATTTTTGGAGTGAAACTCTTCAAACAGCAAGAGACGAGTTCTCCTTAAACAGATTTGAACCCACTTCACTGACAGAGTGGGAGGAATGTGTGATTGTGGCAGGCAAAGCATTGCCACAACTGGTAAAGTGCACCATTTTTCCGACTGGTTTACGCCAGTTTCTTCCTCAGGGTGGTCATTTGAGAGCCCTTGGGATTGTTCATCATGACCATATTGATGTTCCAACCTGGTATTTTAGCCAACCAATCTGTGCCATCCATGCGCCTGGTTGATTTAGTTGTGGTGACGGAGATGGCTGTATTTACATTGGACAGAAGTGTTTGTTCCAGTTAGGAACTGATATATAGCAGTGGCTGGCTTTCACTATGTTAAATCTAGGAAGGACACTGGTGTAAGGCGCGGTACTGATGCCACAAATTTTCATCTAATTTGCCTACTGAGTAACTTAATTTTTTCATCTTATAATTATATGTTTTGACATGAGAATGATCTTCCAATGCATATGTTGTGGAATGCAGGGTTTTGCAGTCTGTTACAAATCTTCAGCATTGCAGCAATCAGCTCTGCACAAGAAACGACCCAGTAGCAACTCTGCCTTCTGAGCTTGTCCAAAACCATACACAGCCCTGACTTTTGGTCGCTAATCTGGTTTAGATTTACCACTGGATCATAAAAGCTGCAGATCATGCCAGTGTTCAGCAACCCTAACAACCAGACAAAATGTTGGAATCTGACCATTTATGACAATTCAGCAGAGCCACAACAAATAACAGACAGCAGTGAAATGGAGCAAAACTGTGAGCTTGTAATGACCAAACAGAGACTGTGTTTCATTAAACACATTTTTGTGTACTGTAAATGTCTGAGTGACTGAACCAAACAGCCACACTAACTTACCTCTGATGGTTTCTTGTGCTGGTGGCGGACCCATGTGCTGCTGGTGCCCGTATTTTTGGATGACCTGGACCACGACGTCACCTGACCTGCAGCAATTTAAAAAGTACAACCATAATCAGTGGAAGAGTAAGGCTAACAAACATCTTTATTACCAAATACTCAGTTAATGTTCTTTTGTGGACCAGAGGAGAAAACATGAATGTTTTTCTGGTGGACATATTTGCCTTTTCTGATCTTCTTTTTCAAATTTGTGACGCAGTTGTAAAGACAAAGTAGTTAAAAACTTTACTCACGTGGAGCAGAACATCTAACAAACCTAATCTGTGTTTGATTTGTCAAGAATGTGCAATCATGAGTGTGAATGTTGATTTAAAGTGGGCTAAATAAAGAACAGGTCTCTGGCTGTAGATCAGACTTCATGTACACAGCGTGCATGCAAATTCACTCCAAATAAACTTTATTGTCCCATTGGAGAAATTTGTTTTGCAGAGAGGGTTTATAATACAAGTACAATAAAAAAAACTGTAACATCAGCCAATATGAACCATCAAGGACTTACTTACTAGAGAGCAAGAAGTTGCTCATCAGAATCAGAATCAGAAT